GGCTGTAGCAGCGCTATAGCGCTGCTATAGCGCTGCACAGCAAAAACGCATAAAAAACGCATGATCGCACCAGCAACTCTTGTAAACGTCGCCACTGGTTGATTGTTTTGCGCATCGGAAATTTTTCATTGATTTGACCACGGTTTGCCCAGCTCATTCTGTTAGCTTCCAGAAGTGTCACCCTCTGGTACCAGTGTGTGAAAAAGGTCTTGAACGTGTTCTTGTGAAAGAAGGTACGAATGAGCCAGGTCATTGCTGCGACATCTTCGAGTGCAAACAGCCAGGTTGCTCTGAAACAATTTTTATGTTTTTTTTTTGCTTCTTTGTCAGTGTTATCATCAGCGTCCGAAAAAAGAATTATGCTTGGAATTCAACGCTCATAAACCATCCAGTGCACTTTTACTACAGTGACGCCCTTTGTTCTCGTATCATGTACTTTCTGGCTGATCTGGTACCCTAATTAGATGAAGCTGGATCTGTTCTGTTGCTGCCCATTGCGACATAACATCGACTGACTGATTTTGGCTTCTGCAAATAAAGCACAAGGCCTGACATAAAGTACGGTCGGCATAAAGCTACGTCTCGATTATGCCGAGAGCGTTAAACTTGTAACCTAATTTTGGTGAAAGTAGCCTGTCGTCGTTGTTAGTAAATGTTGACCATTAATTTCTGTCCATTGTTAAATCCTAATCGTAGAACTAAATTCAATATTTGCGCGTAAAAATTATGTTTTCGTTGTAATTACCGAGTAAAGAAGTCGAATTCATTAACTAAGGGAATTATGGTTTAAAATGCAAAAGTATTATACAAACGTGCTAATGTCACAAATTCTGCAATAATGATCTAAAAAGGGAGACGAAGACTCGATATGGGGCAAAATTGGCTTTTTTTTAACAAATGTGCGGGTACCGCCAAGCTCTGACTATTGCACTCGGATATGTTTCAGACTGGCTGTTCCGAAATATTATTTTGCATCTTTTAGTTGAGCGGGTAGCTATGTTCTGACCGAATTCGGCACATTTTTTTCGTGATCACTTTTTTAGATGCATTTCGCTCGCCAAAATACTCCTAATTTTACAAAAAAAACAAGACTGCATAAATTTGCATTGGGCTGCAAGTACGATACTATTCCAAAATTCTTGAAATTTTCCACAGAATTCTCTGTTGAACTTATTCTTTTCTTTTAACCTTTCTTTATTTGGATATCAGATTTTGCATTTTCTAAAAGTCAAATTATTTTGAAAAAATGCGCATTTTTGCAGAATTGCGATGCGAGAATGTACACTGCGAGAATCATTTTCTTGATTTTGAGGAAGAAGAATGTCCAGAGGACAGCATCCGCGCCGCCAGTTATGTACCAGCCGGGACGTGTTGTCCCGTTGATCCTGGGTAATTTAATGCCGTCTTTTTTCAAATCCTTGTAAAGATTTAAATGAAGCACACTTCGCTCAGCTGACCTTTTCAGTAGATTTGTTAGCGCGATGAATACTTCTGTTCGCGTCGTCTGATGAATAAATTTTACCAAGATCGATTGTCATTTTATCACTGTTGGTGCGGTTTAACTTCCTCTGGTTCATTGACGAAAGCCGCATCATCTGGTGTTGCTGGTCGTCCTGGCAATCCTTTCCTGTTTGCTTCTTCGTTTTTTTAGTGAGAAATCTTGGTGTATAACTC